GAAGGTGACACTTACTGAGCCCCCACCCCAATCTCTGCAGCACAGGACCCCCTAGCACCGTGCTGAGGCATTGGAGTCAGCACTGACCCAGAGGGACGTGCTCTCTACTGAGTCATGAACAGTATTTCCTGCAGCATCTGGATGTTCCTTAGCTATTGATCCAGCCCAGCCCTGCTGGGGTTGGGAACCCTGATGAGATCCTACAAGTCCCAATGTGGCTGAGCTGCTCTCTAACCGTGCAGACTGCGTCCTGCTCTCCCGCTCTCAGTACCTGGGGCTGCGCCATCTCAGGACTCTAATTCCTTTGGGTGAATACAGCTCTGGTCCAGGGCAGCCTGTGGGCCGAATCTGCTGCTTAGACTGGGCTGCATCTGCTGCTTATTCAGGAAATGCACTTAGGTCAGTGCTGGCTTCAGTGGGCGCTGGGCCATTGGATAGCACTTTTCATTGTCAGTTCACTCTATGGACATGAGCTAATGAGTCCTCACAGCCTCCTGGAGAGGGGGGAGGGGACTCAGGGCTGTATTCCCTTGGACAGCTGAGGAGACTGAGGCAAAGGCAGGAGAAGACCCCACAAGTCCCAGGCGTGTCTCCCCAGCCTGGCACCTCCTGCTGTCATTTACAAAGCGATGCTGGCCTGGTAGCATTTCACCCCACTCTGCCCGGGGTGTATGACAACAGAGAGCCCAGGCTGGGAGTCTAGCCTGTTCGAAAAGTTCTTATCCTGCGCTTGTCACCAGAGCCTCTGAGCACCTTCCAGTCATGCACTGAGCAACATGACTGACACCGGTGGGGTGGAGCCCACAGCTCACTGCACTGCCTCTGGGTTTACAGACCTGCGGGTGAGCAGAGATTCAGGCCCCTCACTCACTTTAGTGGCATCATGAATGAGGCCAGCTGGGGCTGAGTGTTAGCTCCTCCCCGATGCACCACGCTCACTCGCTAGGCCAGCGTAAGGCATCTCCTGGCCAGCTTGGCTGCAGCACTGGGACTTGGAGCCAGGCCCAGAGTGCCCAAAGCCCAGGAGTCTCACCCTAGATCGCCAGGAGAACCCCCGTTTGCTGGGCAGTTTGGTGCAGTTTACCTCCTCTCGGCAGGACAGCTAGGCACTGGAGCCAACAGAGACTGCAGAAAGAGCCAGTCCCTACAGCTCTCTGTTATTCTCTATGGAGGGCAAAGGGGGATTCTCCATTGTTTTCAATGGGGGAGGGGATTCTCCATTGTTCCCTGTGGCTGGGGGTGACTGTGACCCAGGTGCCCCAGGTTGGCACCAGACGGGTACACAGTTCCAAGTCTATACCCAGGGACATGCCCAGACAGGCATATTTCCCCTGTGATCACCATCCAGGGACAACTGAAGGTCCCTAGAAATGTGGGGGGTGGGCTCCCACAGGTGCCCAAACTGTGGCCACACCCCCCGCGGCTCCCCTTCCCCTGAGGCCTCGCCCCTTCCCTGAGCCCCTGCCCTTGCACCACCCATTCCCCCTGAGGCCCCGCCCTCTGCTTGTTCCTCTCTGCCCCCCTCCCTCCCGTCAGTCGCCCTTACGACCCGTAAAAAGTGGGAGGGCATAGCCATGTCCTCCTGGCCCCCCCGTTCCGGCGCCCGGTGCCATCTTCACAGTATTCCACCGAAGGGGGCTGTGATGAGCGGTCTCTGCTGATTGCTAGGAACTCGCTGGGTGCCACAGTTATTGCAGGATGGATGTTCGGGATGTCAGAGTTATGTAGCATGCAGGATATTGTGTCCAAAGTTGCTGGAGAGGAAGCAGGGGACCGGGGCAGGGTGGTTCTCAGAGCTCACGAGGAGGGAAAACAATTGACAGCTTTTGCCCCAGCCACGTCCTAGTTATGACAAGAGACAAAAGGGCTGGAACTGTATGACAGGAGAAAGAAAGGCACAAGAGGGGATCCCTTATGGAGGCAACCCTCTGCCAGCGGGGGTGTCTTGTGAAAAGTGGATCCCAGCTCTCTTGACTAGACAAGGTCTGTATGGACTGACAAGAAGTCGAGGGGCTGGGTGCGATGAAGTGGGGGCGTACAGACAGGTTGGAGGGATCAGTGCCTGGGGACAGAGCAAAACGCTGGGGTAACTATTGCCAGAGATTTAGCCACACGTTCTCTCTGCTCTGCCCCAAGGACTCGCTCAGGGAGCCAAAGGGCTGGGGGGTGCAAATTGCCAGCCTGAGGAGGGAAGAGCTGGGCTTGCAGAGCCTGGAGTGGGGCACTTGTGGTGCCAGCAGTTGGTAGTTTTGGGCAAATTTTCCCTGTGGGGAGAGACAAGGCTCCCTGGTGCTAAAAACAGCCAGTAGCAATTCACCATGTAACCTCGAAAGGATCACAGTGATGGGTGGGGAAATCTGTACAATTTATTAATGCTGGGTGACATGATCACGTTGTTGCTATGAAAATTGCTGTATTGTGGAATGTCCTGCTGTCAATGTGTATTCACCATGGGCTGACAGGACCTAGCCCATACCTCCTAAACTAGGGACAATGGAGATGAATGACTGTGCTTTGACTGGACAGTAGATAGGCTAGAAAGAGTAACCGCATCCTAAGGGAACCAGTTCTCTCTAACTTCCTTCAGCAGGGAGCTGAGGGTTTGCAGAGTGGAAAGGTCCCAGCAGAAGAACAAGGACACCTAGGTGATGATGCAAGCCTGTAAAAAAGGACTCACAGGAGAAGGAAGGAGCCGGGGGAACAGGCTCTGTGTTTCAGAACCCAAGCTGTGCACCGCAGCAGAAGGTCCCTGGATGCCCCAGAGGACTCCGCCCCCAGCCCAAAGAATGCTCTGGAGTGCTGTGGAAAATGCATGGAGGGTTTGTTCTTTTTGTCTAGATCTGTGTATTTCTCATGTGATTAAGTACAGAGCAATGGTGTGAGAATCCTGTGCAAAGTGTCTGTGTGTTACACCAGTCACATGCCCCTTGAAGAGGTAACCCAACAGGCTCATACCTTCGGGTGGAATTCAGGGAGAGGGTGTTGTGTCACCAAAGCATCCCTGTATTCACACCCTACACACTATTGTAAGCATCTTTATACAGAATATGCCTTGTGAGGTGTCATTTGAAAACTAATAACACATTGATCATCAATATTCTTGCGTGATGTATGTATGTGGTGGGTAGTAAGAGTTATGGATATATGCTAGAATTTTGACTAAAGTGTGTTTAAACCAGGCATGTCCGGGAGGAGTTGGTAACCAGGGCTGCAGTAGACAAAGGAATGTGTTGTCCCCACCTGGGAGTTATTTCCTAAGTACTTTGAAAGACAATGAGAATGTATTCACATATCATGTAAACAGACCCTTCAAGCTAACAAGGGGTGGAGGCAAACCTGACTCTAACGGGTGGGGGAGGAGACAGCATGGTGTCTAAACCCAGCAGGAGAGAGAAGCTTGGTCTAGGTTTTACTTTTCAAAGAATCCACTGCAAAGGTTTACGGGTCTATAAAGACCGGGGTGGGGAGGTGAACCTCAAGTGATAAGCAATTGAATCAACTGTCTATACAATGATGTTGTATTGTAGAAGTGTATAGCATGAGGTCTTTTCTGAAAGCCAATGACACACTGGGGATTACTATCATTGTGAAATATCTGTAGTAAACACCATAGGAGAAAATACGGATACTTCATGATATTATGTTTTCAAGTCTGTGAGCAAATGGGGAGACAGGAGGGAATGTCACAGCTATTTACCTGTCTCCTATGTTAATTAAGCATGGTGGACTCAAAGCAATGGAAGCCCCGTTTATATACAGGGGAACGGGGAGCCCACATGAGGTCAGCCTGCATCTTGAAACAAGCTCATTGAACTTAGGAAGATATAAGCAAGGGCGGAAGCCATCTTTGGCATCCATCATTAGACAGAGACAAACGGGGAGCTCCTACAAGCTGAGAAAGAGGGGTCCTTCAACCAAGGGGGGGGGGTGTTTAAGGTCTCTGGGATCTTAATATTGGTGAGAAACCACCTGGAACCAAGCCTGTATCTTGCTAGATTAAGTTTTAGACTCTTAGATGCTTTTTCATTGTTATTTCCTTGTAACTCCTTATAACTTTACTCCTTTAATTTGGCATCACTTAACCTGTGTCCTATTGTTCATATATTTATATCATATACTCTTGCTGGGTGTAAGCAAAGCTGGTGGAAGCCAGAGTGGGGCTATGGACAGGCTGCTGGAGTCAGAGTGGTTGACCTGGGACTGTCTAGCACAGAGACGCTGGCTCAGGGTGTGACCTGCATGCTGTTTGGCTGGTTGTGAGTGCCCCGGGTTGGAAGCTACAGCGGCAGAGCACTGTGAGGCACCCAAGGTTGCACAGCAAGTGGTGACGCAGCCCCGCACTGGTCTGGATTGCCCCCGAACCCCATCACAGGTGTCTTTAAGCAACAGGGGGTCATCTGAGGGGCCAGCCCTGGGCTGGGCAGCAGCCATGTGGTTGCAGCTCTCAGGAGCGAGTGCTAGATAGAAGATTTGTGCCCCAGGAGTGTGCCCTGAGACTGGGGCAATCCCTGGACTCTGTTCAGACTGGGGGGGAAGGACACACTGGGGACTCAGAGATTGGATCACCTCACAGTACACCGATAAGTGGACAAGAGAGGGCGCTCAACTACAGCTGTGATGCAGGTGGGGGAACCTCTCCATTGTCCTCCATGGGGGGAAGGAAAGGGGGGGCCCTTCATTGTTCTCTGTGGAGGGAGGGAGACTTTCCATTGTTCTCCATGGGGACTGCTGAGGACTTTGGGCCTTTCCAAACGTCCAGCCACTGGAGGGCAATATAACCACACAGCTGAAGAGTTCAATCCCCTCCAGCAGGGGGCAGTGACGCGCACACGCTGACACACATGCTGATCCAAACACACCAGGTGGTGCTGACTGGGAGCCTGAGGGTCAAGGACCCTGCTCTGCCTGCATCGCACACACCTTGCACACCCACCCCACCGGCCGCATGCTCACACGCTCACCCTCTGCTCCGAGCTTTGCACCATGCGTGACGCTGTGAGTAGTCTCATCAGATTTATTGCTCCTGGGATCCCCTTCCCGCCCCCCGTCAGGTGATATCACCAGCTCTTTAACCCACGTGTCACCTCCTCTCGCTGCCATGGAAAGCGCCCAGCCCTGCTCGGCAGCTGCCCCGGGGCTCTTGGGAGCCGGCCACTCACTCACTGCACAGCCTTCTTCCCGGTCTCCAGCAGCTTGGTGAGGAGGTCCACGAATTCGGTGTGCAGCTGCTTGGCGATAGGCGAAAGCTGCTCATTGGCCTGCTCCAGATAAGCCCTAGGGTGACAGACACCTGGTTCCTTAGAGATGGGCAGGACTCGGCTGGGGAGACGCAGCAGCCGGGGCCCTGCCTGCCTCCTGGGCATGGGGACTGCACGCTATACCATGTGGGGAAACTGAGGCACAGAGCAGGCCTTTGTCCTGCCCAGGCTCACACTGGACTCATTGGCTCCTGGCCCCCTGCTCAGCCTCAGACCATGCTGTGTGCAGCACACTGGGCTGGAAATGATCCTCACTGCAGCCTGGGACTCTGCTACTGTGGCTTTTCTGTCCTTCCCACTCCACCTGCCCTGCCTTGCTACTACGGGCTGGGGTGGCATGTCAGAGGCTCTGGAGCAGGGGCAGGGGGCAATCTGCTCTCCCAGCACTGCAGCGTTAAAGTGCTGAGGCTCTCCAGCTGCTTGTGTGCACCCAGCAGACTCTGCCCGTTCTGCACTCCCAATTGCCCCTCTCCCTCCAGGTCCCCCCACTCCCGGACGGCAGTACTCCCCCTCCACACTCCCCACAGCAGCCCGTACTTTGCCTGGGTCTTTAGCTCCTCGGTCTTCGCCTTCTCCGGCAACTGCTTGCTCAAGTATTCAGACACCGTGTGGAAGTACTGGGTGAAGACATCCGGGAGGCTGGAGCCTGGGGTTTCTGCGTCGCGCTTCACCACAGCACCTGGGTGGCCCGGAGAGCTGGGTTAGGCCCCTGCCTCATGCAAACTGTGGGGCTGGGGCGATCCATCAGCCCCATGGAGTCCAGGAGTGTTAGCCCCATGGGGCGGGGGGGAGTGAGGAGATCCCTCAGCCCCAGTGGGAAGAGACCCAAAGATTGTGCCCAGTTCCCTGCGCTAACCCACTAGGCCACACTCCCTCCCAGAGCTGGGAATAGAACCCAGGAGTCCTGATTCTCTCTGCTACCCTCTAACCTAGCCCCTCCCTCCCTGAAGAGGCTGGCACTGGGTGGCGAGGGGGCTGAGATCGGGAGCGTACAGGGAAGAACCTCACCCGCCAGTGAATCCAGCTCCTGCCGAGCGTGCGGCATGGCCCATCCCACAATGATCCCAGGGTCAGCGCGGAGGGACCATGCCGGGGGTAGAGAGCATAGCCCTGGCGAGGCTCTTACCTTCCAAGCTGCACATGCAGAGCAGCACCACGGCCAAGACCAACACCTTCATCCTGACAGGCGCTGCGCTCCGGGACCTGCAGGGCAGAGGGGGCTGGGAATCAGCAGCTGCCCCAGCCAGCCCCCTTGTCCCTGGCTCACCAGTCAGGCCCCTGGGGAGGGCCTGATTAAGGAGAGGGGCAGATGGGGGCTAATTACCCCATTAACAAGGAGACCAGCCACAGGAGCCCAGGAAGGCCGTGCGGGGGCAGGGAGGCGCACCCCCTTTAGGGAAGGGCCAGGAACACTGGCTAACAGCGCAGGTGCTGTGGAGTGCGAGGCGGAGGGGAACGCGGGGCGTAACGGCCGGGTGGTGTCTGTAGGACAGAAGGGCTCTGAGCAGGCCGTGCACAGGGGAACCCCCTAACACGGGCACCAATGAGAGCTGTGGGGGAGGGGGTCAGGCTGTTGATCTCCCCAGTTGACAATGGCCCTCTGCCCTGGCACTCAGCTCGGCCAGGCCTTGGGGGGGGCTCTGCACAGCCGATCCCTGCCTCCCCACCCGCGTAGGCCGAGTCCCTGGGAGGCCACAGACAGCAGCGCAGGTTGAGCGGGGAGACAAAGGCTCATCCACCTTGGGACAGGGAGGAGGCAGGGGGTAGTTGTGGGCATGGCAGGGGCTGCCTGGTAGCCCAGCTCCGCTGGAGGCCAGGCAGTGAGACTCCTCCAGCAGCGGCTGCGGGGGACCCACCCAGGACTCCCCCCGGGGCGCTGCACAGGGAGCCGGGGGAAGCTGAGGGCAAGTGGGCACTTACCCACCCTGCCAGCCAGCCCTGTCTGACCAGGTCCTGTCCACACCGTGGTGCCCATCCATGCTCATGGGGGACAGCATTTCCCACCTCTGCCAGGGGAGGGGCACTGGGCCAGAGCCTGGATGGAGTAAGTGGCCCTAACCCCACCGATGCTCCCAACGGGGGTTGGATACGCTCCCGGGTCTCCCCGCCCCCCAAGGAGCATTTCCAGGGCAATTTCTGTTTATAAAATAAATCGCTAATTCCCCTCTCCCACTGCCACGGCCGCCCAGCCATGGGCCAGCACGGAGCTAGGGGAGCTAGACCCAGGGGAGCCGAGCGGCCTCTGGGAGGGGGAGGCAAAGGGGCTGCGTGCCCTATGATCAGTGCCAGCGGCCCAGGGAGCAGCACAGGGCTGGTGGGGCCCCATGGAAAGACACTAGGAAGAGGAAGGAAATAATTCAAGGGTCTGTGATGCTGAGAGCAGAGCTCATGGGGTCAGCTGCCCTGCCCAGCCATGTCCCTCCCTGGTCCCCTCTCCCTGCCCCCCCCCCCGCCCGCTGCCCCCTGCTTCCCTGCTCAGCTCTGCCCCAGCCCTGCATGTCCCCAGGCACCCCACTGTCCTGCTCAGTCCTGCTATGCCGTGTCCCTGGTCTCCCACGCTTCCACCCCATTTCTCAGCTCCCCACCGCCCCCATCTCTTCCCCCAGCAGCCTTTGGGTCCTTTGGGCCCTTTGGGCCAGGCCCCTGTGCATTTCCAGAGGGCAGGGAGGGCTCCAACAAGGGATGTCTCTGACCCTTGCTCTCCTGGGCCCCCAGGACAGGAGGGTGGGATTTGCCTGGCTTCCCCTGCCTTGGAGTGGATCCCCTGGCTCATGCTGTGCCCTGCAGCCTGGGGAGCCCTTGGCGGCTGCAGCCGTGCAGCTGGGGGTGATGGGGGCAGGGGATCTGAGTCCTGTGGGAGGCCTAGAGAGGGGCATGAGCAGCTCAGCCTCACCTGGTGCCCCCCCCCGCCCCCCGGGGCCAGCTCCAGGGTGGCTCTCGCTGTTGGGTGGCCGAAGTGGCACCAACCACCCAACTAATCCAGTCCTGGGGCAGAGGCTCTCTCATGCCCATGAGCCAGCTGGGCTCTGACGAGGCAGGCGGGGGGGCAGGTCTCAACCACCCAGGGAGGGCGAATCTCAGTTAAAAAATCCAACGTTAATTCAAAATCTCAAAGAAGCCCATTGTTTCTCTGTAAACCGCCCCCGCCCCGCTCTGCAGACAGACCTGCCGGGCTGCTCACCTGAGGCCTGGGCTAGAAACTGGTCAGGAACAGCGGGTGCCCTGGCTGGGGCTGCAGGCGCTTATATCCCCCGGCCTGCTGGGCCAGCCCGCGCTGCCCACTCATTGGTCCCCCGGCCGGGGGTTCACTGCTGTGCTGGGGAGGGGAATGTGCTGATGTTGTGCTGTACAATCACTAACTGGCAAATCCCTGGTAAACAGGCCGGGGCTAAGGGTCGCGCTGTGGGGGTGTGCTGGCCAGTGCACAGTGCATGGGGCCAGCGGGACAAACACCAGTGTCACCAGGCAGTGTCTGAGGCATTGGCTAGGGTCTGCTGGGCGCCATGGGCAGTACTGCTACGGGCACTGCGGCAGCACGCTCTGTCCCTTCAAGGGGTAGTGGTGCCCGGGGCCCGCGGTCTCTGTCCCGCTAAATCCCCCCTTTAAGGAAACGTGTTTAGGGGAGCAGCAGACAACCTGGGGAATGGGGCCAGGTGTTAATCAGGGAGCTGGTTAAAGCCTGGCTGTGGGGTGACCCTAGGAGCAGAGAGCCCCTGGAAGCAGGGCTGAAGCCTGGCTGCGGGTGGGCTGGGGAAGCAGACCCAGGGTGGAGGGTGGTGGAATCCTGGCACAGGGGGAAGGGTTCGGGCCTGGAGGGGCGGGGGGCAAAGGAGATGGTATCTTTATACAGACTTGATAAATTGGGCCCCAGGCAGGGGAATGTGCCAGGAAGGCGGCTGTGAATGAGATACAGGGGAGGAGCAAGGCAGTGGCGTGCCAGGCTGTGCCACAAGGGACATGCTCTGGGGTGGCACCCACCCCACTGGCATTGTCTCTTCCCCCCATAGCGCCTACACGTTAGGAAAGGGGATTGCACAGTGGATCTGCTGCAGGGAGTCAGAGTTGAGCACAGCCCTGGATGTGTCTGACCAAGAGTGAGCTCTGGGGCTGGGCCTCACCATAAGGTGGAGCAGGTATCAGGCTTCAAGACAGGTCACTGCAGGGGTCAGGAAGGAATCCCCGACCTGAAACCACCCCCCGGGTAGCACTGTACATCTGGTCGGATGTGCTCGGTGCTGCAGCAGGAATTGCCCATCACGGGTAAGAGCTCTAGATTAGCTGGAGCAGACGGGCTGCCCCAGGAAGCAGATGGTGCAGGCTGGGTGGGTCCCAGGGCTTTGGGCTGAGCTGGTAGGGCTCACTGCTATCTCCTATTCCCCTGTGAATGGGGGGCCTGGAGAGGGCAAGCGTGGGGCTAGTGGAGCTGGACAGGGCGGTGACTCAGCCCTGCCTGTCATGTGCCCCACAGGGAGAGCATTAACCCTTACAGCCTGTGTGGGGTGCACAGGCCAGCGAGGAGGGAGGGATTCCAGCTGCTGGGGCCTCGATCCAGGAAGGAGCCCAGAGCCAGCCTGCCTCCCTGACCCTCACTAGTACCTCCCACCTGAGCCACCAGATCACAGGGACAGACAGCTCCTAGGGGCTTAGCCAGCATTTGCCATGGGAAAGGGCCGCAGTGCTTGGCAGGAAGGCACGGGGCTGGAGCCCCCCGGGGGTGTCTGATCCATGGGGCTGGGGCTGCTGGTTTGCTAGCTGACCTGGAGCCCTGCAGGGGAAAGCTGGGTGCAGGCTGGGGGGAGAAGTCTCCTGGCTCCCTGCACCCCACCAGCCCCTGCTCTCCCTCAGAGCTGTCCTGCCTGGACTAGTCTAGTGCACCCGCCTGTGCGCCCAGGGGCAGTTGTGAGCCACAGGGTGAAGGACAGTGTGGCTTAATCTTATCACTCACTGACCGTTAACCTCCAACATGTCAGGATGAGTCAGCGGGGCGGTGGGGGGGGGGAGAATGGCCCCATGGGACATTCCAGGTTAAGCTGTGCAGGTGGGCGGAAGAGCACTCATTGCTCTCCAGATCCTGTCCTTGGAGGATCTCAAAGCCCTCGAGCAGCATTTATTTATCAGGCCCACAGCCCCTGGGGAAACTGAGGCACAGAGCCAAGGCATGACCTGCCCAAGCGAGCCAGGAGCAGCACTCCCCCTCCTGTGCCTAAGCACTCCACAGAGCACCTAGGAGGGGCTTTTGACTGCCCCTGCCACAGGCCAGCGCCCAGCATGAGGAGCCTGGCTGGGTGGGCCCATGGCAGAGAGGGAGAGCAGCTGTAAGGTTTCCCTGACGCTGACTCAGACAAAGCTCCTCAGTGAGTAGCAGCAGAAAGTGGCTTGCTGGCTCTCTCCTGTTGTCACATGGCAGGTCCCTGGAGCTGGCACAGTACTAAGGGCCCTGTGGCTTCACCGGCCACGGGATTATGGGGAGACAAGACCTTGGGGCAGCCGGCAACGGGGCTAGCAAATCCCTGAGCCCAGAAGGGCAGGACAGATCCTCAGCCCTCACTGGCCTAAGCATGTGGCCCTCTGCGGGGGCTGCAAGGAACCCTGAGCCCTCCAGCTGCATGTGCCAGGGCAGCCCTGGCGGGGGGAGGGCTCGGCTGGTGTGGGGCCTTGGAGGGAGAGAATGGCCCAGTTTGGCAGCCCCCCCCCCTCCCCCCTGTGTGCAGGTGGGGTGTGGGCTGGGGTTCTGCAGCTGGCCTGGCCTGGCCTGGCCTGGCGGACAGCGCTAGGGCGCAGGGTGAGCCCCCCATGCCGCTGTGCCTACAGATTCACAGCCCCCAACCCAGAGGTGCCGAACCATTTGCTTTTCCACTGGAGCTTGCAATGACCATGGGTTTGGGTCACTGCCTAGGTTTGGCCCGATGTTGGCAGGACGACTGGGCGCTTGGGGGACGCACACAGGGTCACCCGCCCAGATCAGAATCTCGCTGACATTAGTGCGAAGCCGGAGTCACCTGCTGGGGATTCCCCCAGCTGTAACCGAGAGCAGAGGCCAGGCCAGGATTCCATCCAGGCCCAGAGGACGTGTGTGTAGACAAACCCCTGGGACATGCTCGCTGCAGTGTCTGGAGCTCCTAACTGGGCAGCCTGGTGTCCTCTGTGGGCGGCGCCATCATGTTCCTCATCCCTCTCCTCCAGCCATTTGCTCAGACGTGCTGCAGACTGTTAGAGGAGACGCACACTGTGCTCTCACCCACGTGTTGCATCTTTCTTGCTCTGGTTTTCCTTCATTTAAAATGAAAATCATTGGTGGGTGAAAATCAGCCGCTCACTCCCTGTGTACAGAGGAGTCCCAGTCAATGAAAGAGCCTGCAGCCTTCCCCCCGCCCACGCCCGGAGGGCCCAGTTAGAGTTACCCAGATCATCTTAGCACCAGCATTTCCTGACTTAACCCCTGGCATCTGTAACCCAAGCATTGCCCTGGGTCGCAAACAGCTCTATTCCATGCCAGTTCTATTCTGTGTTGGCACAGCCCCACTCCCTGCCCTCTGGGTTAGGGCCACCTTCAGGGCCGGCTCCAGGCACCAGGCACCCAAGCTGGTGCTTGGGGCGGCACCTGGAGGGGGGCGGCGTGGCGCTCCGGCCGCCGGGGAGAGCGGGGCCACAGCCGGGCTCGCCGCCCTGCCCCCGGCGCTCTGGCCGCCGGGGTGGGGGGGAGAGCCGAGCCCCCGCGGGGGCTCGCCGCCCTCCTCCCAGGGCTCCGGCCGTCCTCCCCTCCGGCGCCCTCCCCCCCGCCCCCGGGGGGGGGGGGGCGGCCGGAGGCTTTTTTGCCTGGGGCGGCAAAAAAGCCAGAGCCGGCCCTGGCCACCTTCCAACACAGATGGGCCTACTCCACCTGCCCCACTAAAATGGGGCCCAAGCAGGAATTCTCCTAAAGCCCAGAGGTGTCCGGGGCTGAGTTTGGGCTACCCCATTTTCTGCAGTCCAGCACAAACCATCCTGGTCAGGTGGCACCGCCAAAGTGCTGCATGGCTGCTCCCACGCCTGGCTGCTTCCCTGACACAAGGAGAGGCCCCATGTTGAGAGAGGCCCCGTGTTCCTCTGTGCAAAGGGCCAGTTATATAAGTGCCACCCCCACACGGGCAGACCTTTTCTAGGCTCCTTCCCCACAGCTGGGAACACACCCAGGACAGGCACGGTCGCAGGCCCTAGGGGGATGCAAGGGGGCAGGCCCTGCTGGGCTCCTGCCCTCACAGCCAGAGAGCAGGAGGGCAGCGCAGAGGCCCTGCCAGGCTCTCTCCCCCATGGCTTCGTCACTTTGTTTGTTTGATTCTGTTTCCAGGAAAGCCCTGTGTTGACAGCGGGGAGGCAGTGGGCCCTGGAGAGCAAGCAGGAGCTGGCCAGTGAGGGCCCTGCTCCAGCTGGGTCACAGGGTGCAGAGGGCTCCTCTCCTTTAAGTGGGGTGGGGGGGTCACTAACATGCCTGGCCTGAGGCGACATGGCCAGGACCCCACCCTGCAGGGGAATCACCTGGTCAATCTGGGCCCTGTGATCGGGGGTCATCGGAGGAGGTTCTGGGGAGAAAGGTGTTAGGCCCAAAAACATGGAGTATAGAACAGGTTGTTTGGCCAGCTTAGTCAAAGTTAGGCTAACAGTAGTTGCTGGGCCATTCCTGTCTCTCTGTGAAACATGAAGACATGCTTGCTTGGGCTTCAAA